AGCCCTCCTGTGATACCGTCGAAGATCACTACTACCTCCAAATTCAGGACTTGCCAAATGGGTTTTCGGTTATTCCGGTTTCTCGGATTTATTGCGCCAAAGCTCCCATAACTAGATAGCATGACTGAGATTACAGATTTCTAGATCCAACCGATAGTTGACAACCATAAACTGTAGCACAGGCTATTTTTCAAAATTCGTCGTCCGTGGAATTTAAACTCTAGACCTGCCACTTGAAAAGAGTGACAACTAGACCACTACACTAAGTCACCACACCTCTAGTTTATATTATAAACTATACAAATAAGTGATATTTTTATATATTATATTATAAAAACTAAATAAGCCTTAATATCAACTCTTTTCCGTAGATCCCAATTTATTAAATAAAATAAAAATTAGTATACAAAGTGTACACCGATTAGAGTTAGAACCTAGTTTTAACTAAAAGACCAGACCATATTGGGCCTTTGAGCAAATAGCTTTCAACAAGTCAACACTAAAAGCTAGCAAAATAGTGAAAAGGGAAGATCTACACATTACACAACCTCAGACACCTTCGAACCTTTCTTTGCATCTAACCTAATGTCTCTTCATCTGATGGACTCAAATAGAACATCAGGTGAAACTGCTGAATTACTACCAACAGAGGCTAATACTGAGACAAGACTTTTAAAAAAGTTCAGAATGGTAGAACCAGTTGTAACTGATATCTACCTAGCTAACTTTACCTCAGTAGACAACCAAAATATCTCTACAACACAGACACAAAGTGGGGATTCTAGCTTATCCTCATCAAAATGCAGTGTAATACCAAAAATAGAAGCCACAACAATTATGGGAGAAAAGGTAGAAAGGGAGAATAAATATTCCCACAGTGATTTTCAGCCGCAGGACCTGATCACTCAGACACAACAGGACTCTCGAGAAAAATTATCAATCAACGAAACTAATCAGGAAATGGATTTACAGTCTAATGCAACAATAGAGTCACAGCCACCTATGTCATACAGTAATATGCTAAAAAAGAATATTAAAAAGAATAAAGACAAAACCTCAGTTATATGGGCAAATGCAGTTGCACATACAATAGCCAAGCAACGTGAACTGCAATTTGATACTACTACATAGCACAATGACAAGATTATTCAGGCTTTCGAAGATAAAGAAATATTAGATAACTTCTGGGTATATAAAATCAAAGCCAAGCCAACACAACATAATTTACCACCTGCAATAGCAACACTGCCTTTTTTCAAACCTTCTCAAAAAATAAAGATACAAAATCTGCTCTCCAAAAAGAGTTCAATAGCTTATTCCAAATAGCAATTGAAAAATATAAGAGACTTCATGATGCAACCTTTATAAACAAAATGAATAGAGACCAAATTTTTCAGAAGCTCAAGACTAAATTAGCAATTGACTTTATTTGCAATATTGATTTCTTATTAGTAAGCTCTTATGATTGTATACACTATATTTTCTATACTCTAAACTTTGCAAGAATTGAATGTGATCAGAAATTTGAGAACATACGAAGACAAATTAAATTTATCCATACCCAATTACTAACTTCTTTATCTAAGCATCTGCAAGAGATTGGAGAAGACATAATGAAAATTATGCCTTTTCCACTCCCAATAGTAGATCGGAAATTAACAAGAGCTATAGTACTAGTACTAAGAAAAGTCTATTACTTCATAAAACTACCTAATTCATATTTTGAATATCCTCTTGAAGAACTGCCTGAGAACCTAAGTAATTTACGACCAGAAGTACGAGATCTGTTTCCAATTACTGAACGTGCAAGGCTTCCATACTTAATACAATACAAATAAAAATTATTAAAGTTCTACAACGTAGAAAAAATACCTCTAGTTACTTCCAACTTCTACTAGCAAAACCTAAATTTCCCTCAACTTCACAGAAACTAAACTTTGCAGTTAGAGGTTACTTCCCTTGCAATCCTATTGATAATACAGAGCTGCGATATTATATAGATATGTTGAGAAAACACTACAGTTTTAAAAAAATGCCAAACAACTACTTTGTACAGAAAATTCCACTATCAGCAGATCCCCTGCAGGTCAATGTCCAAGAGCAATATGAATTCCCTATACGAGATACAACAAAGGCAAAGAAATTTGTTGCTGAAATTCATGCAACCTACAAATACAACCTACTTCTGCCACTCCAATATATAATAGCTAACCCTACTGATAAGTCGTTGTTGCCTCAGAATCTCGAGAAGGTTAAATTGACAAACTTAACAGTTCCTATAACATCACCAAGACAGCTGGTAGATGTAGCCAGAACACTAAAAGAACACTATTTTTTCTATGAAATCCCTGCCGAATGGATACAAATAATACCTAAAGCAAGTACTCAACCAGGAATATCTCTCCTGCTAACGACGTAGAGGAAATCATGAAAAAACTAGAGTCAGTAGACAAACTGCTATTCTTTATCTTACCAATCACCAAGCAAAAAGAAGTTGAGTGTACAGTCAACTTTCTAAAAGAACACTTTAACTTTGCAGGCATACCTACTCATATCATTAATATTCCAGATCTACCTGAGCCCCAATGGGATATTTTTAGTAACTACTCACCTCATGTATGAATACAGGAAACAACTCACCAGACTCACAGTCCAATACAAAATCTACACAAAACAATCAATCCAAAAATACAATTGACAAAATTAGAATAATCAACCACAATGTTCAAGGTTTTAACAATGACATAAAACTACAAGAATATCTTGAATATTGTTATAAAGAAGAGATCCAAATTATTATTATGACTGAGACTAAATTACCACAATCCACAGCATCTAGAAAGGCTCTTTCTAATTCTTTATATAAAATCTACACAGCTAACAATGATGTTGACCTTGTAGTGAATAGAGAGGCAAGCCTTGGTGTTGCTATTAGCATTGTACTTTCTTTTAGACATATATTAGAAACATTAAAACAGTTCCAGGCCTGTTATTAATGATTGATTTTCAATTTCCCTATAATCAACAACTACGCCTAATTGCAATATATATTCTATCGGTTCTGACGAATACATCCAATAAAGCTCAGACTGAGGTAGCACAATTTATCCAACAGGCTAAAGCAACACATCTAAACCTAATAGTAGCTGGAGACTTTAATAGTAATATAAATCGACCAAACCAATCTAGAGTAGCGTCTATTATTACTCATCTCCACCAATTTGGCATGATTAGCCTCTTAGAGCTACATGATATCACTAAACCAATATGGGAACAAAATATGATAAAAAGTCAAATTGATAATATTTGGATGAATTTAGAAATAGCACTAGCATTCGAACCTTTGTTAATAATAGACACAGACTATGTAACTAGAAGCGACCACAAAATTCTTCAAACAAAATAGCACATGTTATCAACTCTGAGTAAGCAAAGAACAAAAAAACAAAAGCGAAAAGTTTATCTCTATAACAAACCAACAGAAGATAATTGGACACAATTCGCTAAACATATTAGAGAGAACCTAAGAATTTTCCCAATTTCTAGCCTTGTCATTCACAACAAAGAATCTTTGAATCACTATACAAATATCTGATATAGTATAGTAAAACAAGCAGCTAAAGATAATATACCATTCGCTACCACTGCACCAAAAGTATTTCATGCACACTCTTTCAAGGCAACTCAATTGCATAGAGGGCTAAAAGTAGCAAATAAAGCTCTAGCAAATTTTCAAGTTAGTCTATCTACCACTCATGCCAGAATATATGGTACTACAGGTAAATAAAGAATTGAAAACCCTGAGTGACCTGACAGGAATTCCTACCTTACCAATTGCAAGTATACACTTTATCAGTTCCCAATATGCTAATACCCTGCAGTCTCTAAAACAAATTCATAATATGGCCTTTACTGTATGAACAATGGAAAACAATACAGAGAAGAAGAAAAGAATAAACTTCTTTGTAGAGCAAAGATATGAAAAATTTGTATCTAACACCTCTGCGATAATAAACAGCATCTTGCGAAAGAATAAGGAACAAGTAATTTACCATAATATTGTAACTCCATTACAGGTTATTACAGAACCAAATATGATTAAAGAAGCAGTCAAAGCATATTTTAAGAATTGGACTAAATTAAATAAAAGCGACCCACAAAAATGGCCTAGCTGGAAGAACTACTACAAACCCAAAACATGCATAGCACCTGGAATCTTTAAGAAGTTACTTGAGCCCATAACTATACCTGAAATGCAACAAGTAATAAGTAATACACCATTAGACAAAGCAACAGGACCATCAATGATTTCCAATAAGATGCTACGTAAACTACCAATAGTAGTCCTTGAAGCCCTACTATATATTTTAAACCAATGTTTGGTATTAAAAGATACTCCAAAAGCATGGAAAAACAGTCTGGTCTGGCCTATCACAAAGACATCATATATGAAGGGAAATATAGAACGGACCTACCCATAACCTTGATCAAACACCCTCGCAAAGTTTTTACTAAAATATTAACAAACCATATGAATAAAATATTTACTAGCCACCTGATACTAGACCTCTCAAATAATGTAGTACTGCCATATATGTCAACCTTAGAACCGATACAAAGATTGGCCCAATTGAGAGAAGATGCAGAGATGAACAAGAATAAACTATAGATTTTATCACAGGATATGTTGAAGGCATATGATACAGTACACTTATCATTGCTACGTTGTGCACTAGAAAGAATAAATTTGCCAACCAAAATTACCAATACTATAATCAACTGCTTCTCCAATCGCCAAAACCAGACATTAACAACTATCGGTAAAACTGGTCTATACCAGGTTGAAGACAGGATAGATCAGAGTGAGATCTTGTCACCCCTACTCTGGCATATTTACTACAATCCCCTAATAAGCCATATAAATAAGGAACTCGCAGGCTACCAAATGTCCACTAATATTTCAGGAAAAGAGAGTCGAGACTGTCTAAATACTTCTGTAATAGCTTATATAGATGATACTACTTGGATTGCACAGAGTAGATCACAACTTGAGGAAATTTTAAAAGTGGCAGCATCCTTCTATAAACTTGCTAGCATTACTGTAAATCTGCTTAAATCTATATTAACACATAACAACAACAAAGACTTAAATTCAATTAATTTCTAAAATACTAACATTAATAAAATAGAACTAGACCAAACACTGAAGTTTCTTGGAACATACTCAAACTGGTCCAAGCGAAAGTGTACTGTATACAAGACGATCACTAGAAAAGCAAATCTAAAATTGAAGAAACTAAGATTTTCTATAATAACAGACAAACAAGCAATATATATAATAAATATAGTTATATTGGCTAGAATGAGATACAGACTTCAAAACACCTTCCTTCTCTGCTCCTTGTGCAAAAAGATCCAACAAAGTTACGTGAATATAGTAAAACAAAAAGCAAACTTGGCTCATGCTATACTAGACTCAACACTCTTCTACCCACTAATATATGGACTTCAAAATATCATAAACTTACAGAAACAACAACACATCCAAATCATGATCACATTACTGAATAATTACAATTTTGACTTATCTAGTACAAAAGTTCACCTACAAAACTTACAAAATAAGGCACTAACAAATACTTCAATTTTAATAAGTGAATCTACATTTCCAATAGAAGTAGCAAATTTCTTTACGGTATAGATGATAAAGTTACTACATACAGAAAAACTTAATTATGAGCACTACTCCTAGTGGCCGGTCTCACAAACCATCTTAGATATATCTATCAACAAATTGCTAAAGAAAATACCAAGATCCTCATATATCAAGTCCTTCTTGAATAAACACAACATAGAGGCGATTGAGCAATTCCTTAACTTTAATACAAATAGAACTTTAGAATAGACCGAATTTTATCACAATATAAATAAGATTCCACCAGGAAGAATACTATGATGATTTACTTAAATAAAAGACGCTATCTGAGATATAGAATCACTAACACTATCCTTGAAAACACCAAATCCATACTTCTGGCTGAAGGCTACACCAAAAAAAACAAGTGGGTTATCACGGCTGACAAACTAATCAGAAAAATCATATCATATACTCACGGAACTATCCGCATAAGATACTGGGTACTTGATTAAATAGGATATATACAACCATGCCCAAACTGTGAATATAAATTATTTAACAAGAGACTAGCAACATGTATAATTGAAAGACAGCCTAGCCAGATTTATAGCATACAGATAGCAAAATCAAGAAAGTGCATGGGAGTAGAGTATTACTTGAAACGAAACCACCACAAACCAGAAGACATCAGCAATACCAATACATCCCAGCTCAACATTCAATAACACATCGTTTTATCTAAGCATTTACAGATATTGACAAAAAACTATAGGAGATCTTTGTAAACTTACCAACAAAGAAAGAATTGGAAGCAAAAATTCTGGTAAAAATTTAGTGAAACAACAAAATAGTAATACCAACAGTAACCTTATATATGGATAATAAACCAATAATTGCTATTCAAAACAAGATCTGGCCAACTCCACAAAAGGTTGCACTGATAGCCCTGTTGATTCTTTTAACACTAGCTTCTCCTAAATCCAAGATAATACTTAGTACAAATTCAATATTCATTCAAGATATTAAATTTAATCACCATAGTGAACCTCTCTGGATATGAGATAGGCATTGATACATTAATAAATATAAAGTTCCTTAATATAATTCTAAAATCAATAACACCAACTATTGAACAAAATCTCGAACCAGTCTTAACTGAATTTATTTCAACAAAAGCTCTAGTAAAAAGATTCTCGGCATCACTTAATATTCAAACATTACCACTGACCTTAAATAATACTATAAAATCACTAATATGAACAGCTAGGATGAATAACTGGTTACAACAAAGAAGGATATGAAATTGGCTTCAACTAGAAATAGAATGGCAACTAACCTATAAATATATAAACTTTAAAGACAAGCCTCTCTTAAGAGGAACCAACCCAAAAAAGTCAAAGCTTAAGACCTTTAAATTGAAGATGCTACTAAATAAACTCCTGATCTTTGAAAACCTTAATAAAAGACATCCAGATAAATACAAATCACCAACCTGTAGAAGATGCCTAATCGAAGTTGAGGACAATATACATTGGCTAACATGTAATTCTAACCAAACTACTGTTAGTCAGGTAATACTACAAGCTTGCAACAAACTACAGAAATCAAACTAACTCTCGCATCAACACATCCAAAAGTTCATATCAAAATATACCAATGTACACATAATAAGAAAAATGTCTATTGGTGTAATAACCTCCAATACTCGAACACCCAGAAATATAATTGACGCAGTAGAGTTACACAACACGATAGCAACACTAATATACAAGTTAATATGGGTACCCTCACGGGTTGCAGCATACAGCTCACTAGCTCAAAATAACAATAGTATAAATAATATAGTAGCTCAATTAAACCACAACCAAAAGGATGATACGTACTATATCAAAGTAAAAGAATATATTGACTTCAATAGATGGTTAGATAGATATATTAGTTATAATATTTTCCCTTTGATATACATAACATAGTCTAGAGGTCTTGGATCTATCTAGCTAAGATTTAGGTCTAAAGTAAAATGGCAGAGATGTCTGAGCTTTATCTTCCCTTTCACTCAATATAATATATCATTGCAATGAAAATTTGTAAATAATATAATTATATATAATAAAGAACTAGAGGAAAAGACCTCACTTAAAAAAAAAAAAACAAAAAAAAACAAAAACTAAATAAGCCTTAATGAGCCAATGGCAATTTTTAGCAAAGCTCATCGAGCTAGCTTATTGGAGAGCACTAGTAGTAGTGTTTGAAACTGGATCAGATATAACTGGATCAAACTGGATAAATCAGATATCTAGATTGAAGTCATTACCACCTGGATAAACCAGATATCCAGAAAATTTTTTGATTTAGCACTAATAAACTTTTAATTTAAGCATGATTAATAATATAATGATATTTTTTGCAATTGTATTCTGAACGATACTACAATATCAACATATATCCAGTATGTTTGGTGTGTTTAGTTTATATGAAAATTTATAACAATGATTGTTCTTGCCAATTGACAAAAAACAAGATAAGTTTTAAAAATAAAATAAGCTTTTATAATAAATATATTATACAAAGAAGTACTAATAAAAAACAAGTTTGATATGAACAAGAATTTATTAATCAGATTAAAGAAAATATAACTCAAGTTATATCAGAGATCTGTAAAATTTTAGATTTAAAATTTTTACAAAAAATCTAAAATTTCAAGTATCAATTCAAATTTTCTAAAATTTTTAAATTCTGATAAATTTATATCTAAAATTATTAATTTTAACTAAAATTTTCTAAAAATTTCTTTATTGTATTATAGTTTGTAATACATAGAAATAGGATGCTATGTAGGTGAAAAATTTCAGAATTTCAAAATATTTCAGAATTTTACAATTCTGGCCTGCATTAGCAGTAAACTATAATGTAGGCCACAGTAGATTCAAAAAATATTTAATTTGCTTATCTCTAATTATACTATTTTATTTTTAATAAAAATTTTATACAAACTTATTTAACTTTTAAGGTATATAGTATATAATTAGTTTGCATTAGATATTGATGTCATGATCTAGAGACATAAATTTATGTAACTTAGTACCTAATTTTATATTTAATAACAATCGGCAAAATTTAAATGCTGAATTATTAAGTATTTTAACAAAATAAAAGAATGAACTACAAAGCTTTTCTAAATTCAATTAAAATTTATCTAAAATTTATTAAATTTAAATCAAAATTTATCTAAAATTTACTAATTTAAGCTAAAATTTGTTTGAATTTTTTATTGTTATCAGAAAAAATTGAGTTTTTAAAACTAAAATTTTATGAGTCCCTGAGTTATATATTCAAACAACCAAGTTTTTATTAATATTTGTTGAAACTGTATTAATAGTAAAAATCTATAAAGTATTTTATTTATTTATATAATATAAATTATAATAAATTTTTAAAATACAGAAATATAGATACCTAGTTTGAAATAATTGCTATTAAATCTAAAAAATCTAATTTGTCTAAAGTAATATCAACTATGTTATTAGAAAGATATACACATTATACAATCGCTTATTACTGAACTTATTGGTTAATTTTTTACTTGATGTTCCAAAATTAATAGAAGTCTGCTACATATACTTGTAATATTTATAAAGTAGCTTAATGTTTGTAGAGTAATGTTCAATATTAGTAAGATAAGGCACAATATTTGTAAGATAAGACGTAATTATTTGTAGAGTAAGGCATGATTATTTGTAAAGTAAGACATGATTATTTGTAGAGTAGGTATAATTATTTGTAAAGTAAGGCATAATTATTTGTAGAGTAAGACATAATTGTAGGGCAAAACATAATATTTGTAATATTAGGCTTGAGGTTTGTAGTGTTAAGCTCAAGGTTTGTGGTATAAGGCATTGTAAATAACATATTAAGGTTAGAATAAAATGGGATAAATGTTAATAATAGAATTAGGCTAGTGTATTGTCATATAACTTCACTTTATATAACAAACAACAAAGAATATAAAGAAATAATTCTTTATATAAATGTAAAAATATAAAAGAGAAAAGATTTTTCTTACCTTTAAAAAAGCATTCTTGTAATCTTCTACAATAATAATTATTAAATAAATAAATTTCTTGTTATAAAATAATACTATTATTAAAATTATTATATAGCAATACTTCTTTTAATTATTAAATATCCAAGCATTTAAGCTCAATTTAAAGCTATAATATAGTATCTTTTGTCTTTTTAGTGTTTTATTTAACTACTTGAAAAAATTTTAACATAATATAAATAGTGACAATACTTCTAATATATACATGGCAAGTGATGTAAAGTATTTTTCTAATGCTAGTATTTGTAAAATTAATCAGTCTTTTAGTTTTTTTTTTTTTAAATATTAAGGTGACCACTTAGGCCCCTAGCACTTTATTAGTACAAGCAGTAGGCCAATGTTAATTTTAGCACCAGCTTTACATATCACATCAGTATCACGAGAGTACAACTAGTTACACGTACAACTTTTGATTGCCTATTTAAGTAGTCCGCCCGAAGCGTTAGTGCTATGCTAGGGGTTCTACACTAGCT